CATAGGGGCTCTGGGAGGGAGGGGCAAAGGGAGGCTCGCCGAGAGGAAGTGGTCTGATGGAGGAGAGCCAGGCGGACGCCTGGAGAGGGGCATCGGGCAGAGGGGCAGCGCACGGAGGGGCAGCGGGACAAGCATGAGGCCAATGGAAGGGGGTTGAGGCTGGGTGGGGCACATCCTGCAGCGATGGAGGGCCCGTGCGCACCTGGCATCCCCTGAGTACAGGGAGAGGCGCCGGGGGTGTAGGTGAGGACCCACTGGGCTGACACAGTGGGGACAGGCCCTCTGGCTCCTGTGTCAGGAGTAGACTGATGTGGAGAGGAAGCGGGGAGACAGCAGGAGGCGACAGCACCCTCCCCGGGCGATTCAGAGAGATTGGAAATGGTGGGAGCCGAGATGGCGGCTTTGGGGTGTGCTAGAGGGAAGCCAGAGCATGAGGGACAATGTGGGCAGGGGGAGAGGAGGCCCATGCTCCGCTCCCCCCAGGAAGGCAGGGTCTCCGGCAGCTGCCGCAGGGGGCCTGGGTCAGAACCCGTCGTTTTGAGGGCCTGGCTGTAAACCCAGACTTTAGTTTGACTCCACACGAGGGACATGGAGTGTTCATGACCAGCCTCCCACCCTGAGGTCCAGGCAGCCCTCATCCCTCCACGCCGCCACTCCCCTCCCTCCAAAAGCTCTCTTCAGTGGTGACAAGTACTTATTGGAAACAAGCAAATGGTTTTATTTTGGGTACAAAAAACAACAAAACAGAAAGTACAGTATTATTTAAAGCAAACGTTGAAAACTAGGAAAATGAAGCCCCCTTTTGGACACACAGATCAGCTGTGCCTGGAACCGGGTCACACGTGACACAAAAGGGCTCAGGGTCCAATGCAACGGGCTTGCTCAGGGCGTCCGACTCCAGTCCCCGACTCCAGTCCCTGGACAGAGAGGATCCTGCACCACAGGACAGAACGGCCGAGACCAGCCCAAGTCCCGCGGTCTAAGGCAATGCTTGTGGTGTTCTGGAGAAAGAAACGCTCCTGAGATGCTGGGACAGGGCGGTCAGCATCCAGATCTCTGCCTCTAACTCCCACTGGTGTCTGTGGTGCTCCCAGCTCTGCCCCTCCCTCCCCCTCCCACATCCCCTCCCAAGTCCTTCTTATCCTCCACCCTCCTCAGCTCTGATGGCAGGTAGGGCAGGTGGGGGGTCATGCGGGGAATCTGAAGGCCTCAAGGAAATGCCGCTTGAAGAGCCAGAGACAGTGTCTGTCCACCCGCCTGCCTGGCTGAACCAATTAACACAGAGGAACAAGTCCCCCTCCCTCCTCTGACTCTGCCACTGCGTAACTTGGCTGTTTTGGGCAAGTAGACCTCTGGAGTGCTAATTCTCTCTCCTTTAAAATGAGAACAAGAGCCTGGTGGGCATGGCTCAGTGGTTGAATATCGACATATGACTCAGGAGGTCAAGGTTTGACTCCCTGTCAGGGCACATGCCTGGGTTGTGGTCTCGATCCCCAGTGTGGCGCGTGCAGGAGGCAGCCGATCCATGATTCCCTCTCATCATTGATGTTTCTATCCCTCTCTCCCTCTCCCTTCCTCTCTGAGATCAATGGAAGATATCCTATAGAGTAAAAGCCTAATATGCAAATTGTCCCCTGGACCAGGAGTTCCACCGGGAGTTTGACTGCTTGCTATGATGTGCGCTGACCTCCAGAGGGTGGCACAGAGCATGGCAGGCGTCAGTGATGAGGCACTGGCAGCGGGTGGCAGTGGAGGTGCTGCTGGCCCCAATGGGCTTCTGGGTGAGCAGGGCTGCTGCTGCCAGGATCACAGGGGCCAGTCAGGCTCACTGTGGGTTTGAGCAGGAGCCGGTCTACTGAGGCCAGCTGGGAGAGAGTGCGCTGCCTGCCCTACTACCATGCAGCACTGCTGGGTGGCCCAGAGGCCCATGCTGCGCCCCGGCCCGCAGCATCCAGCTCACCCCATCTCCGCCTGGGGACTTGGGCACCATGACTCAGGTGGAGGCGGGTGTGTGGGGGTCTGAGCGCCTGGGTGCTGCCCAGGGCCCAGAGGTCAGCTGGGACCTGCCCTTCCAGTCCAGACGCTCATGCTTCAATTGCCAGCTAGGCCTAGGGACTGCACCCATACATGAATTTCCTGCACTGGGCCTCTAGTCTACAATAAGCCACCTGTCTTATTTGTGGATGAAATATATTTGCAAAAACCTTAGACAACACCAACACATATTTATTGACTTTATTTTTAAAAAATTACTTTTCCTAATTTTAGAAAGTTAGGAAACAGAACTAGAAGCTATTTTTTCCATGCTGAAAATTCTTGAAAATGTATCCCTCTATTTTATATCCATACATTAAAAAATCACTCTTTTTGAGGGAAGGCCTCTTATGGAGCAGACCTGGAGCTGAGGCGTAGAGCCGTATGCTCAGTGCCCTGCCGGAGGAGCACTCCTTCCTGGACTGGCCTGCTGTGGGTTACCGAGGCAGGGCGTGGGAATTCACGGTCTCTTTGGAGATAAACTGTGGTTAAAATTAGACACCAGGGTAACTGTCCCCAACGTAGGAAATGCAATGATTTTGAGCGAACTAGACAGAAATAAACAAGCTGTGATTGAAAAACATGCATCTATATTCAGACCTCACCTCTGGTTTTGCTGTGGACAGATGGGTGCTGGTAGAGACATGCCAGGGGTCATGTTTCAGTGCTTTCTGTGTCTGCCACATCCTCTCACCAGGGCCCCAGTGTCCTCTATTACGACAATCCAATGTCTCTCAGAAAAGTCTCCGATTTCTGTTATTTATGCCTCGGCATGTTATCCAATCCCTGTACACCTTTTCTCAGGAGTAGATATTTTAGCCTAAATAGTTACAGCTGTTAGTCATCCAGCTCTTAGCATAAAACAAGCACAGAGCTAAGAATCTTACATGTTATTTTAGTTAATCCTTGTTATCATTTTATGATGTAGATAAAATTAATACCTTAGAATATTAATCAGTAATTTTCAGCTTAGGGAAGATAGTTAAGTTGCCCAAGGTCCTACAGCTAGGAGTGGTCTGACTTCAGAGTCTGAGCTCTGAATAATTATATTGATTTTAAAATCTAAATGATCTGAGTGGCAGGCATCCAAACAGGCAAGGAGGTCTGAGGGCTTCCCTGTGCCTGAAACCAGCTCTCTAAGCTGAAGAGCTGAGTTCTGCCACACACCTGACCCAGCAGCACCTGCCATACAGCAATGGTCACTCTATCACTGAATTCAGGAGGTAATTCCAGCCCTACCTCCCATGACCCTTTAACATTTCCAAGAAGAGAAAACAGAAGTACATGGCCTTCATGAGCAACGCTGAGAATCTTATCTCCACTTTGTCCTTGTAGATCCCCCTGGAACTTCTGGCCAGGGTTTCTGTTAGCAGGTGATTGAAGATGAGCCTGGTGCCTGTGGCATAACGTCAAGGCTGGGGAAGATGAATACGAACATTGACCATAAGCACCAGAAAACATGTGAAAAACCTTAAAGTGGAAAGCCTCTGTATAGGATAAATACAAGGAAACGCTACTTTATCCAACTTCAGAATTCATGGAAACAAAACCATTCAGCCTAGCAATGTAAATAGGTTTGAGAAAACAAAAAGCAAAGCAAACAAACTACTTACAGAGAAAATTAAGATTCTATGGGCTATGTGTCTGATTTTTTGAGGTTAAAGATAAAAGGGCAAATCTGCCCCTGGCGGAGCAGGCAGACTGCTCAGGGGGCCAGCAGCAGGCCTGGAGCAGCAGCAGCAGGCCTGGAGTAGCAGGCCCAGAGCAGCAGGCCTGGAGCAGCAGCCAGGCCCGGAGCAGCAGGCTGGGGAGAGCACCCCTCATGGGATTCAGCCCTCTGGGAGCCGAGGAAGGAAGAAGAGCCAGATCTTCTTCAGCACTCCAGAGGAACCTTTTGCTGCTGAGGTGTGTGGTGTCTGTTCAAAACACTTGTTCTGGGAAACTAGAGCATCCCTCGGGCACCTGTTATACCCTCAAGTCATCCTCACGAAAGGAACGAAGATCAGATCACACTGCATTTTGAAGCCATCTTGGATGAAAAACAGAGGCCAGCCCACCACGAGCTCTCTGAGTCTACCAGAGCCACCAGGACTGCGGGCTGCTCGCTCGCCGTGCCTTCCAGGCAGGTCCCAGGGCTGCTTCTCAGACATGGGCAGCCCTGACCAGATAGTGTCTAGGTGAGCAAAGTCCTCTGGGAAAACAACTCCATTATGACTTCCATCAGTTAAAGGAGAACTACTCTCGAAGCCTAACCGTCTCCCAAATGGAGCCAGCCTCTCTGAGAAGAACCATAGTTGATAGGGAAAATGGGACGTTTTTGGGCGGCTAGCAATCTGAAATTGTCCCAGTAACCTGCTTTCTACTGCAATCTCTTGCTAGCCGGTAATTAACTCCATTTGTGGAAGAATGTGGGAGACGGGCCTGGTCCCTCCTTGGTTCCTCCCATGCCAGGTGTCTCCTGGTTATCTGAGCTATGCTGTGCTCAAGGCTGCAAGCTTTCTGCAGGATATCTGCAGAGCACAATAAATGTTTCTCTGCCCTGTTTTGTTCTTTTTAACCCCTTCAATATATAGAGAAAATCTCACTGTCCAGGTGGTTCAGGATCTGGATCTTAGAGGCCCCTGAATCAGCAGCGCTGCTTTAATTAAAGGCTCTTTCCTGACCCTCACAATGTCCGATTGTCACTTCCGCGCCAGTTTCATAAATTCCACATTCCATAACACAGTCAGGCGACTCCCCGCAGCACCGGGGCACCTCCGGGAGGGCCTCCGCAGGACAGGTTCTGGCATGTGTGGAAAGTCCAGTGAGGGACCAGGCCATGGCCCACCTCTCAAGAACCAGCCTGCGTGTGGATTTGGAAAGGTGATTTCTGACAACCCCTCTCTGTCTCTGTCTGTCCATCTACGGTTTAAGGGTAGTGACTCACTGACACCCTCTCCAGGGCCATAGGTTTTTTTTTTTGTATGTGTGGCTTTGACTGCTGGTTTGTTTAAATAAAAAGAAAAGCCCAGAGATCCCTGGGTCTTATATGTGCTTTGTCCCTTTGGGCTGATTGCTAGTATGTGGTAGTATACAATTTTATTAAGATGCAAATATTTAGACAACTTGGAAGCAGTCTTGTATTTTAGATTCAGAAGAAGAAAGACAAATGGTTCCTTTGCCATTTCTACCACTGCAGCCGAACCTGAGTGAGTGCCATTCACAAACTATAAACCTGTGGGAAGTCCTGCATTTTCATCAGCCACTGGCACGGGTAACACCAGAGGACAAGGCTCTGGGGAACTGGGCGACCTTGAAAGATGCACGGTTAAGTCAGTTGGTGATGCTCAGAGATGTCAACAATAGCAGTGATAAAGGACAGATGGTTAACTTATCTTTATAGACTAGCCATTGGCACAATAAATAGTACTTCATAAACCTTAAATATCTCGGTGGCCAGAAGACAGAAAAGAGGAGAGAGAGGAGAGAGGAAGGAAAGATAAAGCCATCTAACATAGTTGATGGGCTGGAGTGTGAGGTTCAAGGTCAAGTTTGGGGTCAATGAAGATGGAAAATTAAGTTGGAGAATAGTTTCAATCCTTAGAGCAAAATACCATACCTTAAAAATGCACATCTAATAAATACCTGGTATATAATTGCTATTTAAAGCCTGATTATGGCTATTTTGTTTCTAATATTTGTTTTTGAAAGAAATATTCTAATTATAATATAGACAAGCTCATTGTCTGTAGGTTAATTCTTTAGTCTGTATCTATTGTTGCTACTGATTAAGTATAGCAATGCTATGATAAGTTTTACCTCTCCCCATAATTACTGAATAGTGCGTATCAAAATTAAAATCAAATGCATTCTCCTGGAAGGGAGGTCAATTAGCTTGTGAAGCAGCAACTCACCACATGACCTTGGGCAAGATGTCCTCATTTGTAACCTCACGGAGTTGGGTCAGAATATTTCTAGGGCTCCTCTGAGGGCTACCTTGACTGTAAGTTGTACGTGCATATTGTGAAGCATTGCATCTCAATAAATTAAATGGATCACACACTCTTAGAAATTCTTAGTGAATAATTTCTGGGGTGATAAAGGTCTTTGACTCACAGGAAAGCATCTACAAAGTATACCAGCTAAGAATATGACACCGCCTGCAAGTTAGTGCTCCCGTCCTCAGAAACGCCCTGCCTCTTACAGATGCCTGACTCACAGCTTCAGAAAAGCAAACTCAGTAGCTTTCTTCAGAATTCTGAAAACCCTCCACCCACACAACAGGGAGATGGCTTGGGCGAAGCACGCGAGCACCCTGTGTGCAACACGACTATTTCTTTCGGAGCAAAGGGCTGCAAGACCTGCGGCGCTCCCTCCTGTGCTCAGCCGACCCTCTGGTGCCCGGGGCTGAGGCCTCTTCCCCACTCTCTTCTCCAGATCCACGCTCCTCATCCACAGTGTGAAACAGCGGTTTGGGCCTCAAAGCCCTTTTGCTCCGGCCAACATGCTCTTCTTGGCTTGGACTTGTTTGATAGCCAGAGCCGGACGGCTTCCCTCCTCTGTTTAAACTCTTCCTTGTGGTTATTTGTTGTGTCCGTGGTCTCTCCTGAAGCGACCGTGTTGGAGAGTGTGCGTTGAACATGATGAAGGAGAGTTCCGAATCACTGCTGTCCACATCTAGAAATCATGACGAGAAGAGGTCAGAGCAAGGCCAGGTCAGACAGGAGAGAGCACCCCGATGGCGAGAGCTCAGCGCGAAGCCGTCCCTTTGGAGGGTCCAGCTTGGACACTCAGCTTTCTTATCGGCATGACCTTCCCCCCAGGTCTGCTACCCCAGCGGGAGAGCAGAGCACAGTTGACCCTTGAGTAGCATGTGGATGAGGGGTACCAACTGCCTGCACAGTCCGAAGTCCAGGAACTGCAGTCTTACATTAACGTTAGCGACAGAAAGTAAAATGCCGTTAATAAAATCAAAGGAAGAGAAAATAAATCTACATAGTTATTTAAAAATCCACATATACTAGCAAGTGGACCCACGCAGTTCAAACTTGAGTTGCTCAAGGATCAACCGGAGAAGCTGTATGTGCAGTGTCATAGACAAGCGTATCAAGCTTGTCTCCTCCAGGCAAGTAGGGAGTGTTTTTTACAAAATCAGAACAGTTGGTCCTTTGTGTTGTCAAAGACTGAAGGTACGTGGTAGTGCGATATGAAAATGACTGTCTTTAGCTAGGCTTGTTTTTTAATCAGTGTTGCCAGAAAGCATTAAATCTGAGTTTCTTCCCTTTTAACCTTCAACTAGCCAATTTCAGAGAAACAGGGTCAAGGAGCGAGCACGTAGACAGCCATGTGTGGCAAAGCAACTACGACTAGATGCTCTCATTTCAAAAGAGGGAAGAAGAGGAACAGATCGCGGCTGGCACACAATGGCAATGACAATGAGGACATAGTCCATTTACTGGAAACATATTATGTGTCTGCCACTGTGCTAACCATCCTACACTATTATGCCATTGGATCCTTATTATAACTCTTTGTGATGAGAAAAAGCATGATGCTCATTTCATAGGTGAAGGTTTCAGAGGTTAAGTGACTTTCAGCATCACACAATGAAGGCAGGTCTGAGCAGAGCCTGTCTGGCTGTCGCCCCCCACCAGTCTGTCACCTTACAATGTCACATGTGGGTCCGAACAGGAAAACCACTGGGGATCCATGCAATGTCCCCTCTTGGCTGCCCTCACAAAGAGCTGCAACGTGCCCAGGACATGGCCTTTCCTTTGCTGTGCACACATCCTCAAAGGGTATCTTTCACAAGATCTTTAATTCTCATTTTCTCAAAATTTTAACCTCAGACATTTATTTTCCTTTAAATATCCTCCTGAGAATTGAGGTATTTTAAGGCCTTTTATTTAAACCTGAAATCAAGTTCTTCCTCCCACCTTCTTCTCCCTTCTAAAAAGCAAGACAAAAAACAAAATCCCCAGAGCTAGAGCTAACAGCGCACACAGGCTTACACTTGACCAAGTGTGGTTAGCATATGGGACATCACACAATCTTAAAAGTGCCCTGTTCAATGATGTTTTCCCCCAAATGTGACCAATTTATCCTGAGAATGTCGCTTGGAAGCTGAGGGGGACAGAAAGCTGGAATCAACACTTTGAATAAAGAAAACATCGTATACTAGAGGCCTGGTGCATGAAATTCATGCCGGGGTGGAGGGGTCTCTCAGCCTGGCCTGCGCCCTCTTGCAGTTTGGGAGCCCTTGGAGGATGCCTGACTGATGGGGGAGTGGGCCTAAGCCAGCAGTAGGACATCCTTAGCGCTGCCATAGAGGTGGGAGAGGCTCCCGCACGGCTGCTGCACTCGCCAGCCATAAGCCCAGCTTCTGACTGAGCAGCACTCCCCCTGTGGGAGCACACTGACCACCAGGAGGCAGCTTCTGCATTGAGTGTCTGCCCCCTGGTGGTCAGTGCATGTCATAGCGACCGGTTGTTCTGCCTTTTGGTTGATTTGCATATGAGCCTTATATTATATAGGATTACTTGTTCATTTTTAATGATTGCTCTTTAATTTGTACTCTACGATTGGCCTGGAACCAGAGATACCCTTGATTCTTTGGTGCTTGGAACACTACCTAAACACCTAAGAAAACACAGCTGATGTGTCTGCCCCCAGTGCCCAGCCTCCTCTCTCTCCCCTCCCCACTTCCCTCTCCTGGCTTCCAACCACTCCTTTCTAGCATGTGCTTCCTCAGTGGGCAGCTTCTATTTGCCATCTCCTGACCACTGTCTGGTTGTCAGAAAGTGGGTTCTATGCACTAGAAAGAGGCTTGGGCAGGTGACTTGCAACTTAAATCATGAGATCTGTCCAAAATGGGAGAAAGTAGTTCCTTGGAAAGTGGGGGAGGGGGGGTGCAGAAGGAGAGTGGGGACAGCTTTCTGGCTCATTTGCACACCTATACTCCCCACACCCAGGCAGCACAGTGCCAGGGGGAGGGCAGGGAGAGCACACTGCCAGGGGGAGGGGAGGGCAGGGAGAGCACAGTGCCAGGGGAAGGTGGTGGAGAAGTCTCCTCAGCAGTAAGATGTGAACATCTGCTCTTCCGCCTGCCAGCACGGAGAGCCTCCCATCTGGACCCGCACTGGGCGGGTCATGAAGGAGAAGCAGGGGAAGGGCCTTGCTCTGGGCCGGGCGAGCCTCCTGCTGGGATGAGAGCGGACCCCCAGGTGCAGACCAAGACCTGGGCAGCCCTTCCCCACGCCCGCCTTGTGCTTGGTCTGGTGTCAGTTGTGGTAAATACACATCACCTAGAATTTAGCATTTAGCCTTTTTCATTTTAACCAATTTCAGGTGCACAGTCTGCGGCACTGAGTCCCTTCTCTGCCCACAGCCTTCTCCCCTCCATCCTGAGCTCCTTCATCCCCGTCTACACTGGTTGTTGGCAGGCTCGGGCATAGAAGGCTGTCCAGGCAGGACCTCTGTTCCTGTGGTACCAGGTGAGCCCCAATGGCAAAGGAGCCTGGGAAGAGGATGTGGAGACCCCTCAAACCAGCAGGGAGCTCCCAGCCATCTAGAGCAAGGGCTGCTCTGCCTCTGGGAGACAAAGGGCGGGAGGAAGGAAGTGCTTTCCAAGCAGCGGCCTGGTTAGCCAGGGCGACCTGCTGCCTGGGAGCCCCTCTGGCTTCCGCCCTAAAGCCCCTCTGCCATTTCCTGACCTGGTTCAGCCCAGAAGGCCTTGAGGATTTCAGTCATGTGCCCAGATACACCCGAGGACTGTCTCAGTCTCACCAGGGTGATTATAATTCTTTAGAACGTGCTAAGGATAAGTCCCACTTCACTGCTTTTCCTTCTCAGATTTCTAGGTGTGCCGCAATTTCACTCACTGAAGGAAATGTAGAATCAGTTGAGCACATTTGAAAGAAAAAATCATTGGGATGAAGGCGTCACTTCATTTCTCAATCAGTTCACGGAGAACTGACGTTTCTGACGTGTTGTCTTCCTTTCCAAAAGCATCTCCATCGGCCTGGGCAAGTCCTCTTTGACCCTCTCAGAGTGGCAGTCACGACAGCTCATGTTTCCTGCACACTTACCAGCACGTGGTTCCCACCACGGTCCCAAGAGCTTGCTGTGAGCCGACTGGCTTCACATGGGGCAGCACTCTGTGTGTGGAAAGTACCAGAACCTCCCCTTCACAGAGAGGAGTGACAGCACGAGAGGTGGGTTGATGTTTTCCCCATGGAAGTCCTGTGTCCGTTCTCCCAGGATTCTATGATCTCACTGGAAGTGTGAGTGAGAGGGCTTTTAGGACACTGATTGCAAGGACATGCTCTTTTGACCTGGTCATCTGGTGAAGAATGTAAACACATTCCAAATGTTCAACAACCACACGTCTGGAATACGTTCCACTTTGTAAGGTGTAGTATTCCTTTAATGTTCTGCTGCATTTTTAAAAATACATTGTTATTGATTTCAGAGAGGAAGGGAGAGGGAAACAGAGCTAGAAACATCAATGATGAGAGAGAATCATTGATCGGCTGCCTCCTACACCCCGCCCCCATCCCTCCTTGGGGATCGAGCCCACAACCCGGGCATGTGCCCTTGACCAGAATCAAACTTGGGCCAATGCTCTATCCACTGAGCCAAACCACTAGGGCTGTTCGGCTGTATTTTGTGTATAATGCTTTACTTAAGGTTTGTGCATTAGTGCTCAGGAAAGCTATTTCCTGCTGCCTTAGCAGGTGATACTGGGTTCATATCACCAGAAATGACTGTGAGGCCTTCATGCCTTCTGTTCACTCTCACAACATAAACAGCACCAAACGAGTCAGAGCAGGAAGGTCTTTAAAATCAATCTATTATGTGCCCTGTAACTGGGCTCTTTTTTGCTTGCTGTTGTTTTTGGAATAGCTTTCACAACATAAAATAGTACTAGTCACAAGACTGTGATCTGAGAGATACTGAACCAATGAGACGGAACTGAGAGCTCAAAACTCAGGATGAGTGGCTTTAGGACAACAAAGATGGCCTTTCCTTTTAAAGGGAAAAATTGTGTGGGGACAGGAACAAAGCTATTTGAAAACAATCTCTATCTTAATCTACACAAAGATAAATCTCAGATGATCTGAAATTTATATGAGAAAGTCAAGCTATTAAAGTTCTAGATGAAAAATATTGGGTCTAGTTAAACCTTGGTCCTCAAACTACGTTGTTTATAGAAATAAGGTCTCAAGTTGTGGAATTTCAGTTCTCTACCTCATAACCCTTTCTTGCTGATACAACAGCATGACAAAAAGTGTCCCTCAGGCCACAAAAAAAGGAGAGGATGTGAGTCAGTTTACCACTAAACCTGGTTTGTTATCTCAAGAAATTGTGCCATGAATATTTTTTAGGGGAGATGTGTGTGTGTGTGTGTGTGTGTGTGTGTGTGTAGGGGGGGTTGCTTTTGTTGCTGATGAAATGGACAATTAGCACAATTTTAAAACATAAAGCAGCCATCAAGAGTGCTACTGTTGCTAAGGGTGTGAATGAAGCAATGACCACAGGCAGTTGAAGAGGTAGGAAAACTGGCTGATTTGGATGAAGGAAAAGCAGTTCGCCTGTGGCAGCATTTCCAGGCAGTGACATGTGACCAAGTGAAGATGCTGCAGGCTTCCCTGAAAGACACCGCTGGGACCAGTGCTGAAGGGGGTGGTTTGATAAATGTAAGAAAAGACGTGTTTGTTCATAGGTTAAACAGTGCGTTAGACATGTACCGTATATAAGAAAGGTTAAAATGGAATCATTTGGGGGTCTGGAATGAGTTAATTCAATTTACATTATTTCTAATGGTAAAAAATGATTCAGTTTTCAAACAAATCACTTCTTGAACAGCCTTCCAGAATGAATGAAGTTTGAGAACCAAGGTTCTACTGTAAATCATTTTCTAATTTTTCTTTGGAAATCAAGTAAATTTGATTAATCAGAATCTGAATGGCAAGTGTGTCCAAAAACTAAAAGATAACTGGAAACTTGAGGAAAAAGCATTAACAACAAATACGAGACAATAGGTGATGTCCTAGTTATATAATGTTCTTCAAATTCACTTAAGGAAACCAGCAACCAAATAGAAAACAATGGGCCAAGGAAACACAGAAACTTCCTCAAAAGAAAGACAGATGGCTCTAAAATTACGAAATGATGCTCAACCACACTAAAATAAAAAAACTCATGAAAATTAAATTTTATCCTATCATATCATAGAATACTCTAAAGTTTGACAATAGCCAGTGATGGTAAAAGTGTTCAGCAATGACTTTTCTCACAGACGTTTGATGTACATAAATTTAAATATATATAATTTTTTACCCCAAATTTTTACTTCCAGGAAAAAGTACTAAGAAAATAACTGCATATTTGAGCAAAAATCCATCATAAGTGGTCCAAGGCACTTATTATATATCATTGCTTATATTCACAAAAAATTTGGAACTACCTTAAATATTTATCAGTAAGGATTTAGCTAAATAAACCATGGTGTTCTTATATAATTTATTTTTATTAAGTCATTAAAAAAGCTCAAAAGGTTAATCTCTATTGACATGGGAAGTTGTCTACAACATATGGTTCAGTGAATTAGACAATTTATAAAAGTTACAAAACAATGCCTATACTATGATTTTATGTATACAATGGTGCTGGTGGTTTGTGATTTTTGTTTTTGTGGGTTTTTTTGTATCAGGTAAGGGTAGGGTCTGGATCAGGATGGTGTAGAGAGAATTATAGGACCCCGCCCAGACTATCTATAGTGATTATATCTGGGTTTGGGGGTTTCAAGTACTTTTAACTTTCTTTTCATTCCTTTCAATACTGGTTGATTTTGTTTTTATATCAAGCAAGTTTTAAAATCAGAAATAAAAAGTTTAATTTTAAAGAATAATATATTCACTTTTCAAAGATTTAATTCTAAAATCCTACATATGCCCACCGGCATGGCTCAGTGGTTGAGCATCTACCAATGACCCGAGAGGTCATGGGTTCAATTCCCGGTCAGGGCACAAGCCCAGGTTTTGGGCTCTATTCCCAGTAGGGGTGTGCAGGAGGCAGCCAATCAATGATTCTCTCTCATCGTTGAATTTTTTATTTTTTGCTCCCTTTCCCTCTCTGAAATCAATACAAATATATAAAAAAATAAAATAAAATCATATATGTTTAGGTTATTTGAATTTCAAATGTGATTTAAATTCTTGAAATTTTAGGAAAATTGAAATTGATATGCGTGTGTGTGTGTGTGTGTGTCTGTGCACGCGCGCGCATACGCGTGTACAGATATTACAAGGGAAATATTTAATCAGTAAATTTGATGAAATTATTTTAGTAAAATTTAACCAACTTTGGAGAATTCTGGAAATTTTTAAACCATGGGTGCCTGTGACTTTAAAAATGTGCCCATTTTTTTGTTTTTCTAAGTCAGGGGTTTACAAATTAGGAGCCTTGGGCTATATTCGGTCTGCTGCCTGTGAACTGAAAATGGTTGTTACATTTTTAAATGGCTGAAAAAATTAAAAGACTATGTCATGACAAGTAAAATGATAGGAAATTCAAATTTCAGTGTCCATCAATAAATTTTTGAATTAGATTAATAAAAAAGTTTTTTTCTCTCTCTCTTTGTCTCTCTCCCTCTTTTTGTTTCTAGAAGTACCTATATAATATTCTTGATTTTTCATTTTGGCCCCCAAGCCCCAAAATATATATCATCTGGCTCTTTACAGAAAAGAGGACCAGCAGCCAGGCATGCAAGTCACCTTCGTGTGCAGCAGCCTCCCGGTCTCTCCTTGCTGTGAGGATGGC